TGTCGATCGAATGAACGATGGTCGAACTGCTTGCAAATTCACAATATCAATTATACAAGCAGGGGTGAGCATGCTGCAAAGTGCGCTGTACTACGTAGACCGACTCACTTGCCCAAAGGCCAATTACAACCATCCCTGCTCTACACAATTCAGCTGAAGAATCAGTCCCTTCTATCTGCTTTTAAACCAAATATATTTATTTTTACATGGGTGTTTCACCCCCTCCACGGTGGTTCTGGCAAAACCACTGGTCCACGGCTTTTTGGTCCAAAAACCGCCGGTCCCCGGTGTGTCCACTGTGTCCGCAAACCAGTGCTCCGTCGCACGCGTCCAGGTGCTCGAGGATATGTACCTTCACGGCCTGGTGGGAGGAAGGTCTGGAGCAAATTGATATGGGTAGAAGAAGTAGGAGCAAGAACGCTACTAGGGGCTCCCGGCATTACTACTAGGAACAAGAAGCTACTAGTACATACCCCAGGATTTTTAGGGGGTCATCAGGCTGTCATCCGGGTGTTCGAGAAGTTCTTAGAGCAAACCCGTGAAGCTTGATGGGGCTCCCTGTTTCCCTTCTTTGCCGCTGCCAGGGTAGTTGAAAGCATCCCTCTGGTAATGGCAACATCTGTGACTGTCGATCCGCCCCCTGAATGAACCCGGGGTCTTAGCCAATCTCCCAGCCTTTTGACCGCCACCGTCAAACGACTTTCTGATAAAAAACACATACGAATAAAAGCTATTCATCCCCATGACCATTGCAAGTTGAAAAAAGGGGCGGGCCCTCCCTCCACAAATTTGCATTTTGATAGACCAACTATGAATTTCTTTGACCAACGATGTTTATACTATTTCATACTTCCTTATCAATGACAGTCGATCTTCCATCAAACTCAAATCCGGTCGGCGAATCTTCATCGGATCCTCCCGCTGTAGCAGCGTTTGAAGGAGTAGCCGCTGTCGAAGCCACAACATGGGATCAGACCGAAAATCAAACCAAGAACTGTGTGACCGGCGAATTGCCACCCCCAAGAAGAATCTCAGAATTGATGAATGGGGCAAATCTTGTTGGGATCTTGGAAAGCCTCCTCACACCGAGAAATTCGAACTACGTGGTACGTAGGTGTACGTAGCAAAAGCATGCAAAGGTTCAATGTGGCACAGTTCCCGCACCGCTGGTGGATCCCGAAACGCCCAGAAGACGCGTAGAACGAACATCCCATGGACTTCGCCAAGTGGCATAGTCCACCAATCCACTGGCGGCACACGCCAGGACTGGGCAGAAGGGACTGGGAGAAGGAAGCTGATGGGTAGCGATGCCAGGGCAAACCATTTCCCTTACTCAGTGGGTGTTTGAGGTTTGCTTGAAAGAGTAAATATAGCCCTCTTCATTGGGGATTGGATTGGAAAGGAGGGGGGAACTAACAAGGCCCAAGATTGTCCAGAATACTAACAGGGGGCGCTCGCTAGCCTCACAAAGAGATGGCCTGTAGTTTGCCAACCCTTTCCTTTAAGTTGGCTCCTGCTATGAAACATGGTTTGTCAAGAAATGTCTTAGTTACATGTCTTAGCCAACGGCCGAAGCCAAACTTCCAACAGCTAGGATTCTGGGGCATATGTTGGACACAGGGTGATTTACATCTGCATTCTCTGTGTTGCCAATTACAGGTCTGATGTTGACAAAACCCTGGGCCATGAAGGAGGGGTGGACACACCTGGAAGGGCTAAGGGATGTGCATGTTTTCCATCAAATGCGTTTTCATGGATTACACTCCCTGGAACTAACAGGGAAGTGGAGAATGGCCCCTTGGAAGACCATGTTCCACTACAAACGGGTAGTTTTCCACTTCCATGCTAGTTCCAAAGAGAGTATGTTGTGTTACTTTTGATGGCTCAAAAGGTGTGCAATTATCCGTCGGAGCACGCTGTCAGACTTGTGTGTCCGTCTGGTGTCGGTCCACTAGTTGTTGAGGTGGGGGTTGTCCGTCTCAAGCCATGGTTCCCTTTGCAGAGGCATCATGGCTTGAACCATTTTCGGGTGAATCAATCACCCCGGTCCACCCCTCTACGCCACTAGAACTTCGTCAAACCCACACCACACCACCACACCCATCGAACGGCTTCGCACAAACGGCGCTGGGCGTGCGGGCGCGCGATGCGCTCATTGACCTCACGTGGGGCGTGCGTTGGGCGTTGGGCGAAAACGAGTTGGAGCCATGGTAAAAGGAAAAGTATAGAACTACTGCTACTACTACTACTACTACTACTATTACTACTACTACTACTGCTCCTGCTCCTGCTCCTGCTCCTGCTCCTGCTGCTGCTACTACTGGTCAGCTCGACATGAATCCAAGAACTGTAGGGGAGAATGCAAAGACCACGGCTGAGAGAAGAATTGTTCAAAAAGAGTTTTCGAGAGTCGACATATCGGGAGAAGTTCTCCGCGCCAGAGGAGGCCAAGCCTGAAGACAGACTACAGATGTCACCCTGGGCCTGTCAATATCTTCACATCATGCTTTTGTCCATGTGTGTTGTTTTCTTCCATTGGGAGTGTCCACTTAGGGATGACCCTCCACTGGGTCGCCGGTCCCGACCCCCTCGGCGATCCCGGATCATGCGCTCCAAGGGGCGACTTTGACTGGGAGGCTCGGAAGCTCCTGGCGGCACGATCCGTTTGGGGGGAGGTGATCTGAGTGGGGCTTGCACGACCTCAGGACGTGCATCTAATATGAGTGAATATGAGTGAATCATATTAGTCATTTAGTAACATCTTTGGTTGAATGGGAATTCCGTCGTCTGTATCGGCGGATTTTTTTTTGGGGCTCCAATCCGCACCAAATTCCATGAATCATGATGCATTTATAACGGAATCTCAGGTTTTCGGCCAAACCGACAGATCGCGACTCCGACTCGACAGGCGTTGGCGTTTCAGATCTCCGGATCCTCCGGCCTTGGGGAAGTGGCTGCAGCCCATGTAATGCCACAAGACCCAATCCGTGCGAAGCGCCTCGAAGCCGGGTCGCGGGCTCGTGCCAAAGACCAGGTGGGCCCTATGCCGGTTTGTGGGGCTACCTGTCGGAGATCCATTGGATTTCATCATCTTTAGTAGGTGCTGGTCATGACTTTGGCCAAGACCATTGTACTGTGGGCGATTGTGCCAGAATTTGGAAGCAAACGCAGGATCAGCACCTAGCAGCAAGCAGCAGCAAGGTGCCTCTGGGCCATCTAGCTAACTTCTGGAACCATCGCACCAAGACTCTTGGATGCCATGAGTGTTTTCTGCGGTGTGCCATGGACGTGGGATATTCTGTGCAAAAGTGGTTGTTCTTAATTTTCCACAGCTGCTCTTCAGACTGACCAGGGTAAAAACCACCACACAAACCTGTCAGCAACTTCATGTCATCATCACCTTTTCCACCCCCTTCCCCCAAATATTCTGGCAATTCTCACGCAATGATTGTTTCTGCAGCTGCATACACGCTCAAATGTTTACAATTTGGTTGCTGAATTTCAGAGTTGAAGTTGCCGTTGCAACGGTTGCTCTGGCAAAGGGATGGCTCAAGGATCTTGTTCAGAAATCAACAACCCATCACAGTCACTGCATCGAAGAACACTTCCTGATGCTGCGTCAACTCTGCTAGAAGCTTTGTTCGCCCCTGAGTTTCCACCCCGGGGTTCTGGTCGACTTTTGGGATCTGTCTTTGCAATCGGAGGCAATAGATCCCTCTGCGCCGGCCACGAGTGAAGGAGCAAACCTGCCCAGCAATTCCTCCTCCGTCAAAGATTGCGCACCAAACCCAAGAAATCACAAAATGCTGATAGCGCGACTGTGGTTTGTAAGCATCATCAACACTTTTAACACAAGCGCAGCAAACAATGATCACACTGGTGAGAGGGCACCGAAAAAAACCACAAACGCTCACTCACCACCGCATTGGCAATCAAAAAGCGGCCGCAGTCTAAAAATCCCTAACGGGTGGTGCTCGATGAAGCGCTTGCTGCTAGGCAGTGCACAACGGGGGCCCTCCATCTTAGCTGCCAAAGAATTTGCGCGGTGGGCAAGCCTCCCCGTACACCAACAAAGCCAAAGAGACACTAAAATTCATCCATCCACCCCCCACTTCTCCGGGTCTTCTCACCCGTCCGAGTGAGAGGTAGGACTACCAAACCCTTTCGTATTTTTTAGGCCTGTAGGCGTAAGCACTCTCTTGGTTGAGGCTGCCATTTGGGTAGTTTTGCCAAGTGGCTTGCAGCTTGGCCACGCCAAACAAGCAATATCGGCGACAAAGCCCCGCATCCAGCAGAATGTGCCAAGCACTTTGGTAAGCAGAGCCAGCACGCAATAGCAGTCACCAAGCAATTTAGCAGGCAAAGGAGGTCCCAGCACCACCTTGCCAAGCACTTGGGCCGGACGATGGAATGCTCCTGCATTACACCATCGTAGACCCCAAACAGTTTGTGTCTTTCGAATGGAACACTCTGCAACTAGAGCCTGCGACGTCCAGAGCTGGGAGACAAAGGATTGCAAGGCAGAGGCGGCCACAGCAGTCCAGAGCTGGGAGGCACATGTAGACACACGGAGACACATGTAAAGGATTAGGCGGACACAACAGTCCAGAGCTGGGAAGAAGAGGAGACAAATGAAAGGAAGCGGGAAACAAGACAGCCGGGAACCCGACCGCAAGCACCCAGCCTGGGAGACAAATGAAAAGAACTGGGAGACAAGTGAAAAGAAGTGGGAGACAAATGAAAGGAAGTGGGAGACAAGCCAGCCGGGAACCCGACCTGGGACAAATGAAAAGAACTGGGAGACAAATCAAAAGAAGTGGGAGACAAATGAAAGGAAGTGGGAGACAAGCCAGCCGGGAACCCGACCACAAGCACTGAGCCTGGGAGACAAATGAAAAGAACTGGGAGACAAATGAAAGGAAGTGGGAAACAAGCAGGCCGGGAACCCGACCAGACCATCCAGCACCAAGGCGAATGGAAAGCCCGACCACAAGCACCGTTTGGGAGACAAATGAAAAGAACTGGGAGACAAATGAAAAGAAATGGGAGACAAATGAAAGGAAGTGGGAGACAAATGAAAAGAAGTGGGAAACAAATGAAAGGAAGTGGGAGACAAGCCTAGCCGGGAACCCGACCACAAGCACCCAGCCTGGGAGACAAACGAAAAGAACCGGGAGACAAATGAAGGGAAGTCAGAGACAAGCCGGCCGGGAACCCGACCAGACCATCCAGCACCAAGGCGACCATTCTGTAAAGCATTGAGAGCCCCTAACAGTAAACTGTTTGGGGAAAAAGCTTTTTTGCGCGCTTATTGCTTCTACGCACGTTTACGCTGCTGCGGCCTGATCAAGCTTGTTCCGCCTCGTAAACAAAACGCCTTGCAAAAAGACCTCCGACCCAGCTTTCTTTGATAAAAAACAACGCCAATATTTTGAACGGATAATGTTTAGACATGTTTTGGCACCACAAAGTTCGTTGACCGATGCCCTTGATTTCACCAATCCCTCATCCTATGGTCCTATTGCCCGTTTATGATGACTCTCACTTCTCCAACGCCATCTCCAAATAGCCTGTTTTGCTCCTGCTGGCTCATGGTTGGCTCATGCCTTTGGCATTGTCCATTCAGTGAAGCAGTGAAACTCAGGGTGAAACATTGGCCAAATCGGTGGATATGTGCGGCATTTGCTGCATACACCCACCTCAGCATTCTTCTGGATCATCTTCTCCATGGCATGGTCAAAGCACCTTGCAATATGCCCTGTCTTCCTTGAAATCTGTATCAGTCAATTGCATGGCTGCAGTCTAAACCTCGCCAGTCCAGGAATCTCCCGGAAAAAAAACACACATATTAATATTATACAATTCTCTATAAAACTCTACCCAACTCTACCCAACAAATTACTTGATTGATCAAGCTCCCAAAGGTGTCCCCATAATTAATCTACAGTATTCCTACTAGTACCCCCAAATAATTAGGTCGGGGTGAGAACAAATAATCATGAAGATACTTGGTCTTGGTGACCTCTCATGATTGACCACCCCTAATTTAAAACACACTTTCTCCCCCCAATACAGTAGCAAACCTTGATGGGGATGGGTTTATCAATTCGGTGTCTCCATTTACATGGTGTTTGCACCAAACCTGCCAGACCTTCGAGTCTTCCGCACCAAACCCACGCAGGTCACCTCCGATGGCTCCTGGTTCAAAGCCTTCAAGACTTGCTCGAAGCTCAAGGGACCTGGCTCACCCGCGCGAGTGCGCGACGAGTTCGCGACTGTGATGGTGCGAACGTGGCATCTCTTCGCACACAAAGAACGGGGTGCCAAATGGCTGTAAAAAACGAGTCGTTCCGAAGAATCCAACCCTGTAAGGTGACTCTTCTGACTCTTCTGGAAGGTTGGTGAGTCGATTCCGGGGCCATGAAAACGGACGGTCCGTGAGCCTGGCGAAGTACGAACGCTATCTGTCACTATCTTCAGCGACCAAACATACCAATTCAAGCACCGGTGCACCAAGACCAAACCAAACCGCAGAAAAAGATACAAAAACACATGACCTAACTATCTTTCCCAACTCATGTGGCTCACCTGCCTACAGAATGGCAACATATAACTTCAATGTAACAACCCGGTAAATCTACCCTGGAAAGCATACACCATTTCTCGACAAAACCATCTGGAAACAAGAATGTCTTTTCTGTGGCATGCAATCCTTCTGGCAAGTTCAGAAATTCACATCTCCAAAACTCGATGGGCATCTGTCGTTTTGTTTTTTTGTTTTCGAAGTGAACGCCTTTTCCAACCCGGGCCTCCATCCTCCCCCAGAACCGGTTCGACGTCCCGAGTCCCTCCGAAGGCATGTGTGGCCCATGACGGTCACCACGCCTTTGGTCGGGAGCTTGGCCGCCAGCTGGGCCGCCTGGGTTTTCACGGCCTCCAACTGCTTGCTAAGCACCTGTCATGGGTGTGAAGCGACTTGCATAATGGTTTTAGCACATCTCTGGGAAGAGGTCGGCGGTTTTCGATGGGTGCGGTGCTGGATGGTGTTGGTGGTGCTTCCGATTCGGTGCTTCACTTTTGGATCTGGCTGTCATCGCTAGGGCTGATTGCCAACACCTGCTTCAACATCTCAACAGTGTCTATGTCTTGGGGTTGCCCATCCCCCACCATGCTCCATGATGCCGAGCAGCTCGCGCGCAAGCGCAGGAAGTGCTGGGAACTACTGAAGAGTTGTGCTTTTTGGGGGTCGAGCGGCACTTTATTTATACATTTGAGATGCTAGATGGCATTTTATACATGCAGAATGTATGCAACGGTCGCTCCTCAAGAGTTCGTGCTTGGGCTACACCTTTCCCCCAAAAAACGCAGGGACACGTGGTTTGGGTAGGGCAAATCTCTGCTCGCTCGGTCCGCTCGTGTAGGTTTCCTGCAGATCTGATGATACCAGCGAGCTGTGGTCAGGAATGGACTCGTCACAGCTGAGACTTGAAGACGAGGATAGGTTCCTATGTCAATGACGAGGGTGCCTGCTCAGGGCGTATACGCTTTTGTTAGGCGGCATGTGAGGGGGAATGAGATGCCTACAGTGGAGTTGCACCCTTTTTACAACCCTGCAAGGAATATGCTTACAATGGAGCTTCGAGATTTGTCACTTGCAGAAGCAACTGGTAGAAAAAGGACAAGCTTGACTCAGCATTAAATGCAGCTTCTCCACATCACGCCAGGCAGGAATGGTTGACACTTGCGAACAAATTGCTAAAGCTCATTTGGGTGTGTATGTTCATAGGGAGACCCTCAACATGTTCCTTCTTCTATGGGGTCTTTGGGAGGTCTCCCTATTTCAATACACACCCATTTCCAGGAAAAAACCGTCCAAGATGCTGTTCTCGACCTCCACTTCTTGTGTGTCACTGTGGCACCACTGCAGGACTGGCCAAAGGCTTTGGATTTCGGGTTCCCCATGACGTCGGCCTCGACGCCGGTCGGTGACCGGCAAGGTCTTAGCTTTGAGGGCTACACTCAAAAAGAACAAGTCAACACCTAAAGTCTATTTAAACAACAAGTCAAGGCCATGGAACGTTTAAGAGCTCTTGATCAAGTCAGAACCGTACGCTTCATGCAGCACAACAATTGCTTACAGAACCTTCCGCACCCAGCTCTTATGAGAAGATTCTTACTGAATCACCAACACGAGGGGACGAGGGTGGCTCAGGCATGGCTCAGCTGGAATCGCACAGGCCCCTGGTTTCATGTCCGACGTGGGTTGTTCACATGGTTTTTCGTCAACCAAGCTGCATAAATGCATAACAGTGTTTTTTGCTCCAATCTCCTTCTGATGCTCGAACAATCCAGGCTCTAAACACTCCATAGCGTCAACGATCTGCATGGCAGTTGATTTCTCGCAAGATGCTTCGAACTCTGCTGAGTTCTTCTCGTAGGTTGGCTGTAGAGAGGAGAGAAGAGAGAGGTCAATGCGGTGTTGACTGCCTGGTGGCAACCTGCCCAGGACAGTAGCTCATTTTCGAGGGGAACGGTGCCCTGCTGTTTGTGCACTCTGCCTGCTTTGCAGCAAACTTCTGCGTTTACTTCTGGTGTCTGTGCTCCATGATCCCTTTTCTCGGTGAACTCGGTGTCAAAGTGTTTCTCGCATGTAATTAGGTGCAAGCATCACTAAAGCTGGATGCTGCCCATGACAATAAGTCCGCCTAACAGCGCTGTGTCGAAGACCTCAGCTGCATCAAAAGTGCCAAGGCCGACCAGTCGGAAGATCCATTCTGAGCCGCATGTCTGGTCGTCAGAATTATGAGAATCGTCGCTTCTGTTTCAGAGGTGTTCTCGGATCCAAGCTATACTATCTGACTCTAGGCCAATTGGTCTGAATATATGCTGAACGTGCTGAACGCTGCAAAATCTGAAGCTCCTTCTGCTGGCAAGTATTCACTGTTTGCTGCACTGGAGTAGCCTTACCATGTCACCACTTTAAAGACACACCCACGCACCAAGCACCGGCAAACGACTGGTTTGTAAAGGAAAACGGACCATGAAAATCCCCACGAGCAGTTCCATGAACCCCCCCCACGTCCACCTGCCCAAAGATCTCCACCAATTGCTGGCTGGACCTCAGAAGAATCCGCGGGCAACGGAGTGGGTAGACCACACGGCAAGCGGAACCGCTGCACCGAGGACACGGACGCTGCACCGAGTCACCAGGAGATTCTAGACGAGGTTCATGGACATCCCATGGAAGACGATCCCATGGACCCTGGAAACCACTGGTTGGTGGAAACAATCTTCAGGCCGTTGTCAGGGTCCATGTTAGTTTTCGGGGGTGTAGAATGTGTCAGGTTGCATCATATTTCTTGGATTCTCTTGCTCATTGACATAGCATTGAGCTTCACTTCGAGCTTCTGGACCGAAAAACATAAGCTTTACACATCTTTACACCCCTTTTTTCTTTTTCAGAACTTCACTTAACAAGTAATTCCCACGAATTCCAGTGCACTTTCACCCGAAAAAGCGGCGGACATATCCTGTCTCCACTCCGGAGCTTCGATCGTCCGGAGCTTCGATGTCTCGGTGGAGCGAAAGAAACCAGGTGTCGTCTTGGCGGTTGGTTGTTTTCGTCTCCTTTTGTGGGAAAAGGGATGAAATCTGAGAAACAAACACATGTTTAGAGAGATGTCTTAGTGCAGTGAAAACGTTTCATCTAAAAAGCAAAAATTCACCCCCGGGAAGATGAACAGGGAACCTGAAAACCACGTCAGGTTGTAGAGGAAACTCGTCTCCCAAAGGTTTTCAGGTTCCATGTTCGTTTTCGACCAAAGTGATACGTTCCAAAACCCCCCCGCGGGTCTGTCAAAAATGGTGGCAGAAGACGGTGAGTAGATCATGAGTGATCCAATCAGTTGTCCCTTCAGAGAAAGCGACAGAAAAGGCCAGAGCTACGGATTCAACGAAGTTGTAGAGTGATGAAGAGTGACCGACGATCTGTTTACTTACCTCCATGTTCAGGGTCTGCAACCGCAGCGCCGCCAGGAAGGGCGTGACTTGGCCAAGTCCGCCGAGTGGCTGTGGGGTAATCTCCTTCAAGCCACTTCCTGGCAGGTTGCGACATGTCGGCGAAGAAAGGTCCTGAGTCCTTTGACACGCCAACCATTGGATCACCCACGGGTTTTTGCAGTACAGTAGATGTTGGACACTATAACTGACCTCCACCAACCCAGCCTTGAGGTTTGGCCCTTGCACAGCACAGGAACCTGTGCCTTCCGTGAGGAATCGGAAGAAGTGTGGTTGTTTTTCTTTGTCTTTTCCGCATTCCTCACATCGCCAGGTCGTAGCTGGGGGTCGTAGGAACTGACCGACCCACAGTGAGACGACATCCTCAGACAGCGGTGGAACATCCGGACTTGACTCTGACTGAAGCGATGCGTGTGTATATATATATATGTATACAATTATAAATATAAAGTGTATGTATGTTGTGTATTTATACACCTTGTTGGGATTTGTAGGGTATACCAATGGTTTCTGGAGTCTCTCCAACTGCCAAGGTTCGGTCACATTTAACCAACATCTCTATAAAATGATATAGTATGGTCCAGGACAATAGAGTATCATGTCGCCCACTCGATCGAACATCACGGATAAATTCATCCTCAAGGATGTTACCCTGCGGAAGGCTTTCACCACAAGGAGTGGCCACGTGAAAGGATGGCATCACAACATACCGCTCACTTGGAATTGGGGAAACTATGGAAAACTACTCTCTTTTCAAGGAACAGGATGTACATTGCCAACTTCCCACTACAATCACAGTCTTTTTTCCACTTCTATGATTGTTGGCAGGAGAGTCACTTGGCAAACGAGTTCTTTCATATTCCTCCCTGTTCTTCCCTTGGGCGCTTCAGTTTGCTTCATGACTTGTGTAGTTCATGACTTGCTTGGGAAGGCGGGTCAGGGACTCCCGCTTCGCCCGCGTACCGCACAGGGACTCCCGCTCCCTTCGATGAAATCAGGACTTCTCAGGTCGGGATGGGACCTATCCGCGTTCCATAGGTTGCAGCATCTACGTTTGTCGGTCGGTCATTGGATGCTGAGAATCGTTGAAGGACTGTTAGTAGTGTTCCTAGTTTCCAGTCACTAGAGTCCTTTTCTTGTGCTAACTAATGCTCATGGCATCTCATGACCATTCACCTGACGCGAGCCGTGCACCGACTTCGCACTGAGAGGCCAACGTTCAAGCTCGCTCCTCAGCGCGACTACTGCTCGGCAGTCTCGTGACCCTTCCAAACAATGAATGTAAATCTGAAGCCCATAACACTTACATCAGAAGTACAAAAAAGACATGGGCCCCGACTCACCCACACACAGAACACAAAGCATCCTTTTGTAGTCTTGATCCATGCATCCATGCACATTGCAAAAACTGCCCGACTCCTCATTTTCGTCGGGTCTTGAGCCATCTCTCCTTGCACTGCTCATGGGCATCGTTGTTCCCTTAGAAATGACACACATCAATCCAGTAATAGTGATGGGCACACCCCGACACCATCAAATAACACAAATGGTTTTGGATTCAGAGCCAATATCTGTGGGAAACACCCAGTTTTGACCGGAAACTGTACACCCTTCTTATCCGCACCGTGGAATTGGGCCACAGCGTGGTGTGTGACATGTCCAATCCGAAAAGGAAAATGCAGCTTTTTGGGTTGGATGGAGGGGAAACACCCATTTCGAATGGGTTGTCAAACACCATCCGATTCCTGCGACCCGAGCAGCGCAAACTCCTTGCGCAGCGTAGGATCTAAAAGCAATCCAAAACTATCCTCAGGCTTCGCTGCCTGGAACGACAGAGATGGAGAAGTCTGGCATGACCAAATAGGATCAACATGGGATGTTCGGCATGTTCCCGTTCACTGGGGGCCAAGTAGCTTCGTGCTCTCAAGGGCAACAATGGGTCACAATGGCCGAATGATGTTCGAACGGCCTGGCGATGTCGATGTTAAAACCCTACAAGCTCCCACATGCGACATTCTTGAGTGACATTCGTTTGGTCTCACAACTACTGCAGCGTGTATAAGCTGGAAGGACTTGTACTTTTCGCACGGCCCGGAGAGCTCCTCAATGCTTGTGCAAGTGATTAAGTTGATGAGTTATGTTTATCGTGTGAAAGAGATTGTGGATCCTAGATCCTAGATCCGCTGTGAAACATGAGAGGATCAATTTGCGCTTGTTTAAAAGATTCCTCAGACTCAGTAACCGCAAAAAATGACAATGTAAGGAATGCGTTGAAAAGCAACTAGCAACTCTAGCATCATGACAACTCTTTGGCAGCGCACATCGATCCAAACCCTGAACCTGATCCCTCCGGTCCAACGAACGACCGGCACGACGCGTGGGGGGATAGCCTGTTGCAATGCCGAAGACAAGCTCTTGGTGGGCGAAGGCACCTGAATGGGTCCGTGGGGTCTGCTGGTTGAAACAGCTGTGAAAATTCAATGCATTCGAATGCATGTATACCGCCTCTTTTTCGGCATGTATGTAAATGGTCCTCTGCAGATGATCTGCATTTCAAGAATCCCTTGCGCATGTACAGTAGATGCTCCACAGGTTCTGGAAACCTCCAGTGTTCTGCTCTACTCGAAGGCTATCCTAAATGCTCTTTCCGAAACAATATGTCTTGGCCAGCAGATGATTCCAAAGCTTGGAACACAAAACCTTCAGATTCCCATGTCTGCACAACAACTACTCACCCATATGTCCAGCCTTCCCTTGCAAAAGCTGCACGCTTGTGGATAAGACATCCTCACTTTTCGGCGGAGTGTCTGCGAGCCGTGCGTCTGGACCGGAGCGTCCCAACACGGCGAGCCGTGCGTCTGGACGGATCGTCGATCACGATCGATTTGGAGCATACGAAGGATCCAAAAATGATTGCAACAGCAGTCGCACCAGGATTCGCAGCCACATACTGTAACTAGAGATGGTGTGTTCACTGGGCCGGTCACTGTCGGTCAGGATTCCAAAGGGCGAATCTGGTCGCGGGGTTCAGTCACCTCACAATCCCTGTCCGACTCGAATTGCAGTCAAACACTTACTGCTTCTCATAGGCAGAGGCGAAGAAGTATAGCCTCTTGACTTTAAATCTAATATTGATTGATGATTTTGAGAGGGTCACATGGTCAGTCACATGGCCAGGATTGGACACAGTATGACAAGGTCCTCGATGGTACATCGGTGCCTCAATCTGAAAAAGCCAAGCGGTCAATCTGGTTGGTGGTTTCAACTCACTTGAAGAAAAAGTCAGTGAGTTCCAAGTATATCCAAGTAAACGTTGAACAATCATGTAAAATATATCGTGTTGATTAACCATCTCAAAATCCGAAAGGTTGAGTTCCATTTGCTCAACCCGACGATGATTTCAAACCCAGGAGTCCTTTGCCACGGGTGACAACCATTGGAGCCTCGGTGACAACGCCCAGGTCAACCGGTGAACGTGAATGCCCAGGTCAACCGGCTGAGGTGAACTTGTGCAAAGTGTCCAAACGTATCAAATCATCGATCCGAATCTCCAGCCAAGTGCTGAGAAGACTCCTTAGGACTCTTGGTTCAATCTTTCCAAGTGTTTGTGTCTACTTGACAAGTACAGACTCCCTGCTGAGGTTCTAGACTTTGGCAAACTGGGTCGAGTATACCGGTATAGTGTCTGTGTATACAGTGTCAAGATGTGTACAGTAGTCAAAGGGTGAACCATACTGCAAATGAATCCCCCAAACAGTGATCCCAAAACTGTGATCCCAAGATGAATCTCTCTTTCAGCAGGAACCTACTAGCGATGGCCTCCAACCCAATAGGAATGGCCTCCAACCTACTAGCGATGGCCTCCAACCTAATAGGAATAACCTCCAACCTACTGGCGATGGCCTCCAACCTAATAGGAATGACCTCCAACCTACTGGCGATGGCCTCCAACCTAATAGGAATGGCCTCCAACCTACTGGCGATGGCCTCCAACCTAACAGGAATGGCCTCCAACCTACTAGCGATGGCCTCCAACCTAACAGGAACGGCCTCCAACCAATAGCCAGTGCCTCCAACCTATTTGGAATGGCCTCAAACCGGATGGCCTCCAACCTACTGGCGAAGGGCCTCCAACCTACTCAACCTACTGGCGGATGGCCTCCAACCTACTG